TGATAAAAAATCAGTTATCACCACAACATATACTGTGTACAAGATTCAAGCCTGTGTTGTTCTACATGATCTGTAAAGATGCTATTATCACTATACTTAAATCTTGAATAGCATCTTTAAACGCAAAGTTATGTGTTTGACATAATTTTTAGATGAAAACAGTAGTATTCTTGTCGATTTACTGCAAACTTCTTGTATAGCGTCTATGTACATCATAATTATCGTAACTAGTTACTGATATTTACTATATAATTCATTGTAATAAGATTTTCTTTTGTTAATGATATTATATTTATAGTCCGTGTCGTGTAAAACCAATCCGAAATTGGAGCATATTCTTCAAGTTATGGTCAATCGATTAAATCATTGTATATCAGCCATGTGAGAATATTATCTCTGTAAATTAATTATTTTGTAAATTATAAATCTTTTCACTCACATACAAATACTTTTTTTTCTTATCAAAATAATCTCTCACCTGCGTTTATGAAATCTATTTTATTAATGTCGAAACCTTTAAAGTGAGAAAATTCAATTAATGATAGAAAACTGTGAATACAATTAAACTGATGTATATTATAATTGTAATAATATGTCAATGCTATTTACTGATTTCTTCACAAATATTACATGGGATCTGAAACAACTGACTAAATGATGGAAAACTGAAACTAAACGAAGTCACTCGGACTGTAGCTGGTACCTTGACGTGCTGATTGGGCTTGCTTAACGGGATGACCCAACCTAGTTATATTGACTAAGACATATGTTCCTGTAGGTTCTACCATGCCAGACAGGTCGATTGGAGAACGATGAGACTAAAAGCAGCTACTCAAGGTCTGAGGGCGAAGTCGTACTGCTGACTGTAGAAGGATGTGAGAGCAGTAGGGTGTTTGCCTCGGACAACCAGCATCTGCAGCGATGCTGCCTTTTGACAAGGAAGGAAGGGGTTGAGATGGTGGAGATTTGTAGCTCGGGTGGATATTTGTGGTGGTGTTTCGTTCTTTAAGCTGGATGTTTTGGTTTGGAGCTTTCATTGTTCTTCCGAACAACATCTTGAACACAAACTTCAGATAGAAGTGAAGTATTCGAATTTCTCTACGTTTGACCCGTAGCTTGTTCTGTTAACTTGGATCTTGATTGGTAGTTGTTGACCTTAAACCTGTCGTTGTTTGCACATTTGTCTTGATTTTATCCTCCTTTTGATCTGTTTCTTGATCCTATGTCGCCTATGATTTTTCTGATTGGTTGATAACTTAGGTTCATATCGGTGTGTTTGTTGATTGCTGATTGGCCTAAGAGGAAGAGATTAGAAAAGGTCGACCCTAAAAGTGTCATACCTCACGAATTTCCGTCCCGGAAAGTAAAGCCTTTTAAAAAAGAGCGGATCTAATACTTCAAAAACTCATAAAAAGACCGTGTGTGACTGGCCTCAAGCAGTTGTCCCTTGGGCTCTGCGGTCACGCTCCCAAGTCTCTAAGGCCAACACTAATCTACCTTCCTTTGTGCAGTATCGATTATCATCTATAACAATCGAGTAATAGAGCTTTTTTCATACCACATTGTCAGGTGTCTTCTAGGGATCTGTCCCTAACATCTCATTTATTTAATGTCCGTATTTCTCACCACCCTTTCTTATCTGAAACCTCAAATTATCTTATAGCTCTCATCAAAAACGATCATAGTGTTTTTAATTATCTTGTGTGATGTGTTTCCAATATTATGATGAAATACATATCCTTATATATTCCACTAAAGCCACATATCTTGTACTCTATGGATGGTGTCTGTAAATGAATCTCGAGTGAATTTTATGTATCAGTGTTAAAAAGTTTGTCAATCTTATGGTGTCGAACAAAGACCTAATAAGTTTCTATACTTTTTGATAAAATACTGCTTCCGCTTAAACCAGTTCTTGGAACTCAGTGAATGTTTCTTCATTTATGGAAAATAATTCTAGGACCTGGCTTGCGCAAGTTGACACTCAATCACATTATCAGAACATACGTTTTGGGGATTGTTAACCACCAAAGTAATTGCTTCGGTTTTATGTTTGATTTATTCTGTCCCTATAACTATGGTAAATTAAAACGCAAGCGATTCAAACAAAAAGTGCCTTCAAAATTTATTAATAAAATGAGATGTAGAAGATAAACCAACTTTCCAACTCCTAACGTAGATGAAAGCGACTGATAAGTCCGTATCAAGTTGGTGATACCCTCCTAGAGGAAGACATGATTGTTTACCACACCTCGGTAAATATTATATGCATCTTCTCAACTGACAGATGCACAGAATCTAGCAATTATAGTTGATAAAATTTCGAAGTCAAGTCATATTTATTATGTAGTTGACTTAACTTGTCCCAGTTCTTTCATCACGCTCAACCATCTCTTTTGCCATACAACCAATTGAGTTGCGTTCAAATTATACAGCTAATTATGCTAATGTTATGTAGGAGTTAGACTCTTGGTAACTGTCTTATATCAGGATAGGTAGTTTGTGACCTCTTAAACGCCTTGAAAGTTGCTGTGCGCTAAAAGAGATAGCTCATATCTGTTGGTATTTTAATAAGTTTGTTTACCATACCTTAAACGCGCAACATGCTGGTTTTCCAAGTGCTAGTGTTAGCAAACCCCTGGACCCAGGCAGTAGTGGAGATGAATATCACTGACTAACTTCTCCCTTGTACTGGATAGGATTCCAGGCTCACGTTTACTAGTAGATATGGTCAGTGTCGTCCCAGTTAAGTTTGCTCGGTGACCAGTGAGAAAGACTAGTATATAATTAATAAGTCATCCTCACTCCATTACAGTTCGGTACATGAGTAAGCTGGCGACAACCTTGGAGAAGCATATATCGTACTTACGGACGCTACGTCCCAAGTGGTTTGAGTGGCCTGAGTATCGTCACACAATAAGTCATTCAGATACATGAAAATTCCCTCTCCAGATAACAGATCCACATCACCGCCAAGAACTACTGAGCTGTTTACAGAATCCGAAAATGAACAGGGACTAATCAGAATCGATAAATTTATTGATGAGCGAACTCAGTGTGAATTTAGTGAACAGTAGTTTATGACCAGAATTCAGATACGTTCTCCAAAATGAGCGGACCTGGAACATATACATTTCATTCGTAGCTGACATGACATGGTCAATAAGAGTTTAGGCTCAAGTTACAGGACTAGTCAGTCATGTAACGAAGACCTAAATGGCCTTGTAAAACCGACGGTGCTGCACACACCTTATCTCGAAATGAGACGATACTGTCACGTTCCTTACTTTATCGACATGAATTCTCTTCATTGGTTTTATGCTGTTAGAGTAACCTTATGGAATTAAGAGAGTAAATGTAAACGTTTATTGCCGAAATCTTGCTGGTGGATATTTGCTTGTTTAAACGCAGACACTGGTACAAAGGGGTATAAAAATATATATGCGCCACACAAATAGTTGAATTTTTCTATGGGCTGGGATACTGCTTGGGTACCCAAAATGATACAAGCGTTTTTCTTAGGGAACAACTCGAGCCTTTGACCTACATATCTTATCGACAAGGCAACTCAGATGTGGTCTCATGGTGGTCATCTTGTGAAATTTCGACTCGAGCCACAGAAACCACCTAATAATCCTGTAGAACTTGAAAGACTCCAAATTAAATTAGCGATAGCAGTAGTACATGTCATCCTCAATAACAATCAGTTAGATATTAGACATGTCAAAATGATACAAAAATGCCTTCCCAACTATAAAGGAAGACGAGCAGCTGAAGCTTCCCAAATAACGCTAAATCTTACTTCCTTCAATAGAGAATGCCTTACTATTCATCTGACTTAGGCCATCTATCCAAGCTACCATGTCTGATTCTATTCGCAACTCATTATTATTATAGTCACAAACGCAGCTCTGTTCTTTCAAATTACATATGCCACATTTTTCACACCTATCAGCACACATAAATACACGAATATAATTCGTATGAATCACCTTGACCGAAGTAACATGACATTGACTTGGTCAGACCTATTTTTTGATTAACTGGTCAATTGTCCCAAATACTTTTGCCTTGTACTATTTAAACTTCGGTTAATTTATTCTCTGAAGTGGCTTACATTGAGTAACGAAACGTCAGAAAAGTTTTAACTTTTCTACTCATTCGAATACTACAAATACATTACTTTTATTATGATTAGTAATTGGTACAATGTTCAATGGAAATTAGACCTAATCTATATCTTTTACATCACATCTTATCATCTCTGACAAAATTGGTAGTGTTCAAGAGAAAATAACTCATTATTAATTCAAGAATTTGCTTTATATGCACACTTTACAAAACATAATAACAATATGGAGAAACATCTAGTAATTTTACTCAAACTGTTTGATAATAGCAATGATAAACCACCGTACTTACAGTTATAATATAAATATAAGAAGTAACAGAACTATACCAGTTAGATAAGTGTATAAACTTAGTTAGCTATGCTAAAAAAAAATTACAAACTAATCAGTAATAGTTGGTATGTGAGTTGAACGAGAGACTTCGAAAAAGATTACTTTGGATTTCTTTATCAGTTACAAAGCGGAAAACAGCTTGTAAAATGTAGGAGGAGAACAAATTATTGACTTCAGTGTAAACAATCATACAGAGAAACTGTCCATTTATTAACCTAGAAATAATTTTGCTGACAAGAAATCGCAAAGTCAACAAACGCCATACATGTGCTTTATTTGAAATGATGAAAGTTTTAGGAAAATTACGATCTACACACAATTCAAAGGAACTCAATTTAACAAATGATTTTTGGATTATATGAGAAATGTTGCACAACTGAAAAAGAAAGGAAAGATAAGAATAGTTGCAATGATAACAATAACGAAATTAATAACAATTAGTCTGAAATGTTCAGTATAAATGCATACACAGTCCCATGAATGAATACCTACAAAGGGGTAGGTATATCAAGTGATCAATGATATTGAAAATGGGATTCATCTAAAAAACAAAGTTAACAAAAAGCTTGTTATTGGAATTTATTGTGACATTAGTAAAAAGCTAGGCGTATCTTAAACAAGTTAAAATACTTCGTGCCACAAAACGATACAAGGCTCTTATCCTGGAGCTATGCAGCAAATGCTACACAATACCATCTGCTTACAGTCTATGATGAATGCAGAGGGAGATACATATACACTATTTGCTAAACTCTTAGAGGATATTTCCGCACATGGCACAATTAACACACTAGAAATCAGTCAGTCAGTTACAACGTAGAACTTCGTACGTAAGTACAACACTTCAGGTTGCCAGACCACATTAGCACAAAGACGCAATTGCCAGTTCAAATTACATAGAGATAGTAGAAGTATTACTGGTAATGGAGAAGATTAGGATTTGAAGATATTATTCAAGTATAATCTAGTGAAATAAACTTAAAAAGAGAAAGAGGTGATAAGGAATTCAGAAGATTAGAATATCAGAGAGCACAAAGAATGGATACACCTGCGCCATTACAAACGATTTCGATCCATGTCATTCAGGGTCCCTAACCATTGGTGACTTTCAATACTTCATCTATTGATTTGCCATCCCTACCTAGTACTCGTTTCCTGACAACTGCATTACTCGATACTCAAAAGTAAACGAACAATACTTTGGAGACACCTATGATGGAAAACCAGTAACCTACGAATTTCTATTACTCTGATTGGCCATGTTTCACAGACGTGAAATAGGACGGAGTAAACTGCTGCACAGTAGACTCGTCCTTTGGTTAGCTGACGGATGTCTCGCCGGCACCATAAGGGACGCGAGTTGGTAAAAGTCAGTCGAGCCTTTTGTATCCGTGCTGAAGTTTCGTCAGTCACCAGGCCATCAGCACTTATGAGACTCCCGAGATAAGTGAAGCGGTGTCAAAATCGTCCACTCAATAGTGAGTTCTACTTTTCTATTTTTCACCCCATTGACCATTCACCAATGACCTAGGTAGGAGCATTATTGAAAACGATTCCTGAAAAGTGCTTGAGATTACATTTCAAACAGATTATTATTGGTTTTTAAATATAACTGTTTCGTAAAACAGAAAAGCTCTTCTGTAAAGACAAGTGACTGCTTTTTGTTACATAAAAACTATTAAGTAGTGATTTTAATGTCATTTGATTATTGCTTCTTTGGTCTTTAGGAATTTCAGCAAGTGCTTGTAAATGTCATCGCACGAACACTCAGTATCATTACAACCACAGAAATTCTTATTGCTTGAGATACACGTAAAAGACCACATTCTGCATCACAATCGACTAACTTAGCATCACAACTTTTAAAAAACAGTAGTCAGATCTAGAAGACTACTCAAAGTTGTTAGTGATACCAGGAATATTGAAAGTTCAATAACTACTGCGGTAAATCTAACAAACCAATCTAGAATAGAAATTTTCGCAAGCAAATCGCCTGAATGTTTACATAATAAACTTACGAGTTGACAAAAGTTTTATCATAATTTGTGGTTGTTACTAGAATGAGCCGAAGGTATGCTTTCAATACTATTTTCTCTAGGATTCTCGTTCTGTAAAGACAAGCTCTGGTATTTGGATTGATGAGCAGGAGGTGGTTGTGGAGGAAAGAGAAGAGCTGCTGCAGCACCTAGTGTCGGATTTAAATTTAATCCAACTCTACCAGTACTAGACAATGCACGATGTTGTAGTTGGTCAATCTGTTGGTTAGATAGAGCGATAGCAGCAGACTGATAAGTGATTTGTTGATTAAACTTATTCAAATTATGAGAAAAATTCGAAGGCACGTTTGGTGTACACTGTTTTGGAGAACCATCATTAAGAGGAACCATTGACTTCCCAAGATCATCAACCTTTAATTGAGCAGTTAGAGGTTTCTGTGAAGATGGACAATTGGGGTATGACTGCCTAAAATCGTAACAAATACACTGATCAATCGATGATAGAACTTTACATTTTATACTGCGACAAAAAATGACTAGACTGAAACACTGTTTATTAAGTTATTCTACTACATACTAGTGATGCTTTAAGAGTATCATTGGCGAAAGAACCTTATTTAACAGACTATGATATGAATGACTAAATTATTGTACAATAGAAATAACCCTTTACCAAGTGAATATCTCAAAATAATGATTGTGGGTTGCCAATTGATAACCCAGTTTACCATACTCATAATAGAGCGATGATATTATTATGCTGTATGAAATTCATTAAATGATTGATACTTAGAAATATCTAATAACGTGAAATCAACTATAAAATGCAATATACTCTTTGTTAAGCAGCTAGTAGATACGTTGGCCACCAGTATAGTCAAAGTATATATCCCAGATAAGTAATTTGCTGACTATGAATCCATTTAGTTTATCTAATTGAAATGTAAACACGTGGAATAAGGTACACACTTTAGGACACATCACCAGAGTATATGCTTAAAATTCCTTGTAGTCTAAAATAGTTCCTCTTTTCTTCTCCTCATCGTGTTGTGATCCCCTTTTTCAATGTACCAACGGACAATTGTGTCAAATCATACATTGAAGACTGGTACACGAGTATTACTTCATCCTAGTTACATATAACAATTATACATAACATTAGTAACGATGTATTTTACCAAGACTGACGCAGTATAATCAAATTATTTGTAAACGATCTATCAATATGGTTAGAAAAATGGCGTATTTAATCACACACACCTTTTGAGAGCTACTGGATTGATCATTGTAGATTTGTTCAGTTCTGAGTTTAGCTGTACTGGCTTGGATACTAAAATGGTGGATACAGGATTAGAAGAACTGGATGAGACAAGACGAAGAGGTAAACTTGGACTGGCTGTTCGACCCATAACAGCTTCATTCTGTAAAATAGGAGTTCGACTTGACTGCGAATTTTGAGATGTTGAAGTTACCACAGGAACTACTAGTGAGTTTGGAGATATAGATGCTGCGGTCGATTGAAGGACATAGGATAAACGAGAAGTTCCAGTTTCCACACAAACCGTTACTGGGGTCTTAGTATTGACGATTTTTGAATGAATCGGACCATGAGCAACTGCAGATGGAGTAACTCGGAAATTCGGGCGATTAATTGGTTGTGCGGTTGAAAGTGATGTAGGGACTGGTTGACAGTGTTTTGTGACAGGAACTACATGAGGGCTAGATTTAGGGCTGCAAACAACCGATAAACTTGTATGTGGACTACTGCTTGGTACTACATGATCGGGTATCTTCGGAACCGTTTTGGAGGCAGTCGAAATTGAAATATTCGAAGAAGCATGAGGTACAACGACGATGGGCGAATTATGTTGTGATAAAACACTAGAGTCAGGAAGAGGTGTGGTATTTGTAGAAGGTGAATTGTGGTTTCTCCCATTATTTATGTGCGTAGAACCATTATGGCTGTTGTTGTTCATAGGTCGTGCAAGCAACTGAGATGTTGTAGTGTTGTTGCTTAAGCCACTAAGACGAAATAACAAATATTGTATTTATGTTAAGAATGATAATTGAAATAACTTTGTAATCTAAAGAGAAATCAGCTTCTAAAATATTTATAGGTAAACCAAAACGACGTCAAAAACAGAATATTATTATAAATGTCATGGAATATGTTCACATTCAGTAATTTTAAATGAACCATTAATAAGATCATATAGTGTTAGGTGGTTGGAGGTAATTAACGGAAAACTCTGGGACTAGATTTCATACTATTTGGAACTTGTCACTAAAGTGCATTTACAATTATGAAGAAATTAATGCTCCTTATAAAATTCACACTGGTGTCACATTGCAACAGAATTAGCGCAGCACTGAGAACTAGACAGGCATGACATTGGCCACCAAAAGTTAGAGTCAATCAATGTGAGATAACATAACGTCATCCACTACATAATCTAATCCACTGAATTTATTATAAACAGCTAAATAGTATTGCAAATTCTGTCATCGTTAATGTCTTTATTTACCGAATTTATATGGTAAAGTTATCTCTTACTAAGAACGATTTGCACCAAACAACATCCCAAATATCAAGATGGTAGGAAGATTAAATATTTGCATGTTTGAGAAAAAGACTTACTTTTCGCTGCAAAACTTCTGGAAGATTGGTAAACCGGTACGCCATAATGCACTAAGAAAACAAGAAAATGTGAATTTATTTTACCATAAATAGATAACTTTGAAGAGCTCTTGAATAGACCAGCGCCATTGAACCCACCCTCCTATACACCTTCTCATGGATATTACCCCGACAATAATCAAAGAAATCAGCAAGGTTATCAGACGAATTAAGAGTAGTAAAGCAGCAGGACCAGAAAACATACCGGCTGAGACAGTGAAGTCAGAGATAGAAGAAACTTCAAAGATGCTCCATAATGACTACAGAAAGATTTGAGGGGAAGAACATGTGTAGTGAAGGAGAACACAGGTGGGGCAACCGGATTGTATTTAACGTAAATCACAGAGTTACTCAGTAAAATTGGAAAACCATATCGTAAATCGTTAATTTGCAAAATATCAGTCCATCATATCGAACTGGACTGTTCCTGTTGCAAAACATCAATCCATTGTCACTATTCATGCGTTTCATACAAATTCCATTGTTTTCTAACTCTTCCTTTCTTGATCTTCCCCCATCTTCTGCTGCCAGACATTACGTTGACGCTCACGTCACATACTACTTATAAGTAGCTCGCACCACACATGTACCAACAGACCGGAAAGAAGGAAACTTCATCAAGAACCAAAGAAGAATCTTGGCAAGTGTAAGAACTACAGAGGAATCACATCTCTTTTAGTACCAAAAAACATTTTATAGTTTTTTTAACTAAATGTAGGATTCAGTAAATGCCTAACTTGGAGAGTAACAAGCTGCAGCATTCCGTAAAGACCGATTGTGTACTGACCGAAATGCGACACTACGGATCATTGTGGAACAATCAACTGAATGGAACTCACCACTCTACGTCAACCTCCTTGACTAGGAGTAGGCATTTAATAGAGCGGACAGAATAATATTATAGAAGGTTCTTTGACACTACGGTGCACCTGAGAAGATAGTCAACAACACACGGAATTCTTACGACGGACTACACTACAAAATCGTGCATAGAGGGCAGCCCACATACTCATTCCAATTGAAAACCAGTTTCAGACAAGGTTGCTTGCTCTCACTATTTTTCTTTCTCCTGGTGGTTGACTGAATTATGAAAACCTCAACATCTCGGGGTAAGCAAGGGACAAAGTTGGCAACTTGGATGTAGCTAGACGACTCACACTTCGCTGAGGATCTAGCTCTTCTATCCAACACATCAACAAGTGTAGATGAAGACGACCAGCGTAACAGCAGTTTCTGCAGTAGTAGGCCTCAACAAACACAAAGGGAAAAAGCAAAATCTTTAAATACAACACAGCGAGTACTAAACATGTCACACTTGAAGGGAGGAACTTTGGAACATGTGGAAACCTTTAAATACTTAAACAGTACCATGAATGAACAACGTGGATCGGACAAAGATGTGGATGGACGGATTAGCAAAGCAAGTGTAGCATTTCTACAACTGAAGAGCATTTGGAACTTGGAACAACTTACCAACTAACACCAAAGCCAGAATTTCCAACACAAATGTCAAAACAGTTCTATTGTATAGGACAAAAACTTGGAGAACTATGAAAATAATCATTTAAAAGATACAGGTATTTACAAACAGTCATCTACGCAAAACACTGCAGATCCGCTGGTTGGATACCAACAACAACAACTTATTGTGAAGAACAAACCAACTTCCAGCTGAAGAGGAAATTAGGGGAAAACACTAGAGGTGGATAGGACACGTATTGCAGAAGTACCAAACCACGTCACAAAGCAAGCTGTAAATCGGAATCATTAGGGCAAAAAAAAAGAAGACCAAAGAACAAATTGCGCCGAGAACTGAAGGTAGACACTTGGCGACCATTAGAAAGGAGATTACATGACATAGTATTCTGGAAATTACTAGTCGGTGGCCTATGATCCTAGAGGAGTAACAGTAGTAAGTTATATATATATATATATATATATATATATATATATATATATATATATATATATATATATATATATATATATATATATATATATATTGTTATAATCATAGAGAGAGGAGAGAGAGGAGAAAGAAGATAAAAGAAAGAGGGACGGAGTTTTGAAAATAGAACATAAAACTATGAAATATATATGAACATTTCTCGCTTACGGATACACATTTTGTAAAAATAGAAAATGGTTGTACTGTTATTCTGTGCATTGATATTAATAATGAAGGTTCCTGGAATCAGCTAAATATTACCTGAAATGCTTAAATCCTATTGTAAAAAATAGGGAGACTCAGAACAGAGACCATCTATATATTTCTAAACTATACTTTAAATTACATTTTATAAGTGCCTGAAATAATAGTTCCAACCTCGAAATTAATTATAGTAGAATCTCAGTCTACTGACTAAAAAGCGATTATTCCAACAGTCTAAGCACCATTAATGGGCATTTGACGTTGTTTTTCTACTAGTCACTGGATGATAATTGTACGAGATTTTATCCCGTTTTGTAATAGTTTAGAAACAAGTGTATGGAAAATAACTTAAGGAATAAAAATATCTAGAACAACTTGGATCAAAGAACTTAACAAAACGTAAGAGTTATTTATTTTTAGTTAATGAGGTTTCACAAACATAGCTTTTCAATTATCATTAGATCACCAGTTCACTTTGATTCACGTAACCAAGTGGTAGTAATGCAAGTCTTCACACGTTTGGTGCACTTTGTACCCTGCCACACATATCTGCACAAGAATGCTGCTGCTTTGTTTTAAATTTCCTGTAAGTCCTATTTTCAGTACATTGATTCAACAAGTAATTTTAAATGTTAAGTTATATTCGACGGTTGTTTGTCTCACCAAACCTTTCATACTACACAATTTATACAATGTTAACCTGATCCACTGATTTCCAACATCTTGAGAGCTAGAACCATGAGCACGCGTGGATCAGACTGACCGATAGACTTCAAAATTGAGACGATAACTAGGATTAAGAAACCTCTGGCACATTCACAAACTTACTAACAAACTGGTTTGAAAATACTAATGGAAAATGAAAGACACTTACGCATTAGTAATCCAACCATCAGGCCAAAGTTGTATTAGAGTTGGGAAAAGGCGTCTAAGATAGTCTTCAGCAGAACCTTTGATGTTTAACAATTTATAACTCTCAAGTCGACAAAGGATAATTTTATCGAAAAGTTGCCTACAATTATAAAGAAATGAATAGATTGTGCCATGTTTAAGCTTGTTAGATACTTTTATATTAAATCTGGAAAGTAGTTCAGATATACATGTCTTAGTTCACTGATTACCATTCAGTTTAGGTGTGAAATTATTGCATAAATATAACCGAAACATATAAAAAAATGATGACAGAAATCCCGAGTTCATTTGCAATATCGATTTCAGGTTTACTGACAATGTGATGCTAAACTATTTCATTGCACCAAAAGCGATATTCTACATCAGAACTGACAGTAGCCGTTATACAACCAGCGGATGGATGTGGGGTAATCATTATGGATAGTACAAAATTCTCAAGAACCACAACACAGTCAGCAAGCACCAATAAAATGTTTTGAAGATTCAGATGAATGAAGAAGACTGCACAACGAACATAGAGATACCATCCAAATTGTCATTTATCCGATATTTTCTTCAGCACTAAAACAGATAAGTGTTCGTGTGGCGGGGATTCAATCTAATTTGTAAACTTTAGGTACGTAACAAAGATTAGACGATTAAAGTTTTACAGCTTCATTATATTGATACTGGTGAAAAAGATATGATATTCAACAATTTACCTGCATTCAGAATTCCATCGATAGATTTTCTTAGGAGGTCCAGGTTTTGGAGGTCGTTTCGATAAGTTGACGTCGCTTAAGTTATAACACCTTGATTATCAGTTAAATCTGAGCCACTTTGCAAATTTCTAAAACCGAAAATTAGACAATATTATATGTTAAAAATGGTGAAAGCGACGGCAACTATTGCAGTAATAATCAATACTTCATCAATTATTATACTTCATTCATACAATTCTTTCAAGCTTTATTCAACAATTTCATAATTCTTTGCAATTAAGAAATGCTTTAGCAAATGTTATAAAATAAATTGTTATTACACTTTTTATTTAATAAGCCATCAAATATTGTGTATATACATGAAAATGATTTAATATAAAATTATATTTAAAATTTTCAAGTGAATAGAATAATAGACTCAATAAAGATGAAAATGAAAAATTGAAAATAACTGTGAGTAAATGCTGAATGTTTTTGAAGTGATTTCAGTTTACACAAACTAATTAAAACTATATAGAAATATTTTTATATTTGTTATTTGATTTCTATCAAGTGATTACATCAGTTCATTATCAATGAATAGTTTTGATCAATGTGTTCAAACTGATGAATTAGTAAGTGTTGATTGATTGATCGATCATGTCTAGTTTTTCAAATGATTAATTGTTAAAGTATAACTATACTTTTCATTAATATTTAATGGTTGACGATGAGATTTATGCGATGTTTCATTGTGTATGAAACTTTTATCAGTTGTATGTATCAGGATTATTGTGCATGGTGTCTCTTTATTGAGATTTGAAATTAGAACTTTTCATTTCATACATCAATTGAACTGCTAAGTTCAGATAAGCATATGAATTTTATTAACAAAAGTATGTATTATACGGTTATTATTAAACACAGTAATTGATCAGTCTTTATTGGTACATGTACTTCTTGAATCAAATACTTGAATACTGACATTTATTTTTAATTTTTTTTATTATTTTGGATATTAAGTCATATTTGGCATTGATAATGTTTCTTTTCAGAAACTATTTTTCCTAAGAGGATCTATCAAGTTTATAAAAATAATGAATGACTACTGTTGGGGAAATTAGATCCTCAGAACTCACTTGGAGAAGGTCCTAATTTGGAATTTTTAATGTTTTCGCGCATAAGACGCTTGGTTGGCCTTCAGCTTACAATTCACACTCGTAAAATCCTTAACTATCATTGGGTTGATGGTTACTTTAGTATGCTATTTTGTGGCTCTCCCAAGGGGCTTTGCTGTATTGTATAAATAAACCTGATTTGTGTGCTAAGGCAATCTCGTACTTTCAGGGTGCTTATGGATTAGATTCTCTATGCCTTATCAAGACTTCTTGGTTTTGTTAGCGGACCTGGCAACAATAGATTAGAATAGCCTATCATGTCATTGCTCTCATTCCGTTGTACCAAGTAAGGTGAAACTCGTTATAGCAACTACAAGCATATCAATTGGCGAGTATATCATTCGGCGACGGTGGTTTTTGGAAACATGGATCCTTCTAAACTTAAATTATTATTTGAACAGCAGCTGAAACTAATGTTGATGTTGACATATATCAAGAAATATACTACACAATTATTTCATGTAATTCACAAGACCAAAAAAATAACTCTGATTATGTGCTACTTGTTGTATTTGTAAGTGATGTAGATGGAAATCATTAAAATTTTCTCCTTGATAATACCTAGTTTCATTGACAGTTTGAGACATGACCATAGATAATAAAACTTATGAGATATATTGTGATCATCTTCAATTACGTCCATAAATTTGCATGTACTTTTGAACAAACACATATAAAAAGATTTATGCGTAAGGATTTCATCAGGATGTGTCACTATGCTTTCCTTATTCTTTTAATCATTGAACATCTAGGGAATGGTGGTAATGAATTGAATATAAGTAGGAATAATAAACGGGTATTATTAGTAATAATAACTATATTGCAAGAAAGTACTTTAATGACAAGTACAATATATGAATCAACTAGTTTTAACTTTCTACAATACTATACAGAAATGAAAGGCTATCAACGTAAATTCATGGACAGTCATGTACATCAGTGTGTGCTGGTTGATAAACAAAGTTAAAGACGACACCAATATTACATTATTTGAAATTAGAGTGTAGTTAATAAGCCTTAACTTTTCATTTTAGAGTAACTGTTTTGTTAGTGGATAGATATATTGAATTTCGTACAATCTAAACTTGTTTATCTGGTTTCAAATTTTTGTAAACAAATACATCTTTGCTAAAGTGTTTAATTCCACTCTTCTAGAAGACAAAGCGATTTAAGTTTACATATAATTTTGATGCTTACATTTACAATTGGAACCAACTGGTTTTGTTGACGTTTTAAACATTCAAAATGAAGCCGGTTCTACATCTAGGAGCTGAAATTAGCACGACATCTAATTTGCATCTATGATGGTGATGAAGCTTAAGAGTTATAAGTAAAAAGGTTTACTTTAAAAGTTTTGAAGTTTTTTGCAACTGTCCATGTAAAGAGATAGAGGTTTGGTATAATAAAAAATTGATATTTTCTTCCATAAAATGGATTAGCTTCAGTTATTCACATTGTCATTTGCGAAACAACTAGTTAAATTTAATGATAGAATCGGTGTTTACTACGATGAAATCACATCCAAATGATGAACGATAAATTTCACTTTTTTCAAGCTAAATCGTTCACTAGATACTTGGTTACTAATCACGCTTTTGGTGTTAAGAGGCTAATTGTACTACCCAGTTAACGAAATCAAAGCAGGGAAGGCTATATTCTATTATAACACTAGTTTGATGACTGAGATGTCTCGTGTGTGTGTGTGTTATAATTCTTTTCATCAAGCGTGTGGTGACTTTTTGAATAGTTGAATGTTAACGTTTCTGATTGTGACACTAAAGGATACGAGCTCAAACTTCAATAATGAGTCACCTTTCGAGCCATTCAAGATAGTAGCGAAATTATAACATGATTAACAAAACGATAATGGTTCGTTAGTGTAATGACTTTATATACATTATATCATCTGATATGTACAAAGCATTTGATCGCTTATCATTTCCTATTGTATTTATGTTGGGGACGTAAGGTCCCTAGAACTCACTTGATAAAAGTCCTAATTTTGGTTTCCTCAAGAAACACCCTTCCATGGTGTGCGCAGCCGGGAAGTGATAACCGCCCTCATACCCGTAACCCGTAACAGCTTGATGTATTATTTTAGTATGCTATTGTTTGGCACTCCCAAGGACGTTTCTATCATTGCATAAATAAACTCGATTTGTGTGCTTGTGAACCTCGATTTTTTGGGTGCTTGTAGAATACACTTTCTACGCTATATCAAATCTTCTTTCTCTACTTAGTGGGTCCTTGGTAGGTTCGGATTAGAGTAGCCTATCATGTCACTGAATCCCTTGTCTTCAATCTCGTTCACCGACTAAAGTGAACTCGTAATAGCATTCAAGCATATCAACTGACGAAGATAACAATTTTCAGTAATGTGTTCCCAATAAATTTGATAATAATTATCTGCGAATGAATATCCATCTGTGCTGTTTGTTAACTTATGGGCTGGTAAATACAACATAATAATTATTTGAATAATCTGTAAAAAACTCTTTTCATCTATGTGGATAGCTAAGAAATATTTCCTGAATACATACAAAACGATATATAAGTATATGATATAAAATAACATTTACAAATTGAATTAGCTTGATTTTTTGAGTTTCTTTTGTGTACATATATATTTGCCTTCGCATCTTAATTTATTCAAGTGGAGATTTCCTGTTGATTTTTTTTACATAAAATTGTTCTCCTTTAAGTCATGATATTCAACCATTCACTGTTTGCATTTTATTCCAATTTATTGCTATTTCGTGCTTCAGAAAATAAATTTTTTTTTAAAAAAAGAAAACACTTTTCATTCATTTTACTTTTGAAAAGGAAAATGAAATTGAAACTAATCATATTAGTAGTAGTTATAATGAAGTGAAGAATTGCAATATGATTGATTCAAGTACGGAAACTGATCAACAATTGAACATTCAACAACAACAACTTAACAATCTGTTGGATGAATATAGAAAAGATCAAGTATGCCAACTATATAGTGTATATTTAAATCTGTAATAGGAAATAATATCTGAAAAGTTTAATGAATTTGTTTAAAATACAGTGTAAGCAATACAGCTATTTATAAACACTGTTACAAACTGGACCAACGGAGTTTATGGTTCTTTAAAATTCACATTTTCCATAGAATGGTTTCTGAACTTAATTCGTTGTTGAATCAAAACGGATCTGGCTCCTAATTATTGATAGCGAATTGGTCTTATCTATAGAAAAAAGGAGTATAACGTAGCTGATAACCGCTATCTGAATGCTTATTAAATTAAGATTCTAACAAAATGCTCCATTATCTAAGTGTATTGAAGAAGAGCGCAGGAGTGTTGAATGTATATTTGTTTATTTTCAAATATATAAAATCGAGTCTCATTATTCAAAGGTCATCACATTTTATGGCAGATTAAAACAACTTTATTTATTGACTATCGGTTAGAATGTCTAATTCTAACTGAACCAGCCAACCTATTAAATTATCTAACTTCTTATAGAGCATAAAATATGAACAGGAAATTAAACGAAAACAAATTGAACTGGAAAGAATTCAGATTAATTATGATAAATTACTCGGGGAGTTCATTCAATCTCAGTCAACTTTTGAGCAGATACATGTTGAACTTAAAAGTCAGTTAAATAATGAACGATTAGCAAATGAAGAAAAATTAAAGTAGGTTTCAGGTCAAACAGCCTTTTATAAATATTTTCATTATAATTCTTAATATTGTGATTACGAACGCGCAAGTATATGTCATGGGTTAATTACGAAGTAGTTTAAGTTATGGGATATTTTTCAATATGTTATCCTTTAATTTATTGGCTTAGGCATAATTTGGTTGATTTCATAGGTCGCAAGATTCTGTTAATGCAAGGGGTAATAAATTAGTGTATATATTGATATCATTAAGTGATGCAGAAATTTACCGATAAAAATGTTATGCTCAGCAATTTTTATTCTTGAAACTATTACGAGTTCACCTTAGTTGGTAAACGAGAGCGAAGACATATGATTCAGTGACACGATAGGCTACTCTAATCTGCGCGTCCCAAGTAGACGAAGAAGTCTTGATATGGTTTAGAAACTGTATTCTACAAGCACCCAGAACATCGAGGTTCACAATTACACAAATCAAGTTTATATATACAGTGATAGAAACGTCCTTGGGAGAGGAGCCACAAAAATGGCGTACGAAAGTGATACATCAACCATTAACAGTCAAGTATTTTCCTGGTGAGCAATGTAATCTTAAGGTCAAGTGATCAGCCAATGCGCAAAAGCATAAAATCCAAAATGCGGACTTTTATCAAGTGAGTTCTGGGGATCTAACGTCTCCAACAAAAAATCACGATACATAAAATTAGATATGAATTAAAAATATGGTCTATTAGGGTTTTAACTTGATGACTGAATGATACATAGTTCAGGAATCTAAAGGTCTATAGTTAAATTCCACATAGGGTCACAATTGTAGACTATTCAGGAATATTAAAGTAGAATGAAAAAGCTGTCTAACACTCGTATTTTCTTGATACGTCTATGACAAGTAACAGCTAGTGATGGATTAAAAGTGACTACTGTTTTCGATTATTGATCAACAGATTTACACATATCAGTTTATATAATTTTTATTTAAATATCATGCATAATTGATGAACGAAGATTATTTATCTATCGTACTAACGACAAGTTCTTTTTAAGTTCTGTTAGATAGTTGGCTTGGTTAATAACACACTGATCTTGTAAATTTCATCAGTGAATTTGTGTTTTAACAAAAGTAGAAGCATATATTTTGGAGTTGTTTTATTTGATATGCTCGTCAATTGATATGCTTGAATGCTTTAACGAGTTCACCTTACTCGGTAAACGAAACGAAAGCAATGATGCAGTGACACGATAGGCTATTCCTACTCGTTTGTCCCCGGCCCTGCTATTTATATCAAGAAGTCTTGATAAGGCGTAGAGAGTGTATTCTCCAAGCACCCAGAAATTACGAGGTCAACAAGCACACAAATCAGGCTTATTTATGCAATGATAGCAACACCCATGGGAAAGCCACAAAAGAGCGTACTAAAATAACACATAAACCAATGACAGTCAAGGATTTTCGGAGTGGAAGTTGTAAGCTGAAGCTCAACCAAGTGTATTATGCGCGAAAATATCAAAAAATTCAAAATTATGACCTTTTCCTAGTGAGTTCTGGGGATCTAGTGTCCCTAATAGTATTTGATTAACAAGTTCAGAATACAATAAATAAGATAAGTATATTATGCAATGGAACAATTCAATCTTAAGTTTGCTAATAAATTATCTCATTGTTCAAACTGAAAGTTCTTCAAATTTTCAATACTCTTTGATTACATTAATTTCTTCTTTCAAAGTTTAAAACAAGAAGAATTAGAAAATCATTTCAAAAATGAATTACAATCAATGAAACAACATTATGAAATGATAAAATCAAAAGAATTCGGTGAATTTATACTTGCACAGAATATTTTAAAATCTAAAATACATGAATTACATCAACGTTTATTAGGATGCTCTTGTGAATCATCATCCACCGTATTGAAACAGGTCAGTCAGTCAGTTAGTAGTATCAATCATTTTCAAAAAGGGGAATTTTCTTTTATGTGATAAAAATTTTTTATTTCTTTCAAAATAACAAGAAAGAAAACGTCAATCCATAGCATGATGTTAGTTTGTTATTTTTTAGAGTTATGATTAGTCATAAATATATAAATAAATATCATGAAAACTACTGAACAGTGAACAACAGTTTTACTCTAACTTAGGTTTCTCTATGATTTCATATTCAATACCTTACCATGAATTTAATATGATCATCGTTTAAATAGAAATTATATTGCTGCTATCTACTATTCACATAATATCAAGTCATTTTTAGTCACTTGTCTTCTCTGACCAGAATGTAATTTTTCCGGCACGAATAAACTTACTTATCTTTCAGCAGTTTAACTAATTACATGGATGTATGGTGTGTGATAAGCTTAACTTCACTCTACTTTGTAAACTAGTTAGGTTTTCAGCTACTAGTTATCGAAATCTTTGATTGGCTGATTAATAATGGTTGTTCTAATTATTCTGATTAGCCATCACTCTCAAATTTTTCTCATTGCTCATATTTAAGTTAAATACACATAAACATTTTATTATCCACATGAGAATTGTATGACTTACTTAACAATTCATGAAGTGATCTTTCAAGCTCACCATGTTTTTAATTAAAAGCAAAACCATTGAAATTTATTCTCTATGTTTAATGTTCAATATTTTTTCCTTCTGTCATTGTTTCAGGTAAAAAGCAACAAATTATCAGCAACTAGTCAATTATTGCCAGAGATTATTGGTGTGAATAAACAAAATGCTATTTTTGATACTTTATCGACCTCTGCCTCTTTATCACCATCATCATCATCAGCATTGACAACAGGAGCACTACTATCAGAATCGAAATGCAGTTATAATAATCATGACTACCACTTACTATTGTCTCATCACCTACCATTACAACTTGAAAAAGATTATCATTCTATAAATGAAAGAAGTGAAGAGAAATTTCGTTTGCCTGCATTAACTACTTAAATAATACTAAACGAAATGAAGTGAAAGTAGTGAATTTGAAAAAAAGTTTACAAACAAAGCAAAATAGTTGAATTTATAGTGTGTGTGTGTGTGTGTGTGATGGAGAAATACAAGGAAGGCGAGAAAGATAATAAATTATTTAGTTGTGTAGCGTATACTAACCAACTATAAACATTTATTTGTAAAAGTTAATTCATGCATATTTAACTCTACACATATCATTTTATACAAATAAATAAGAAGGAAACTTGCTAAAATATTCTCTACTGAGAATTTCATATGATATTTTAAACATTTCATATTGAATAAAATCAGTAATATTACTAGAAATGTTTTCTTAATTCATGGAACAATATACATGTCTGTGTTATGTTACAAAAGATAATTATCTTTAAATTGGGAAATGCAAATTACTATTCATGAATAAAAAATTAATTATACTTTCAGCTTATATATCAAAAACGGGAATATTCTATTAAAGATGTTTTAGAAACTTTAATTAATTAATTTTTGGCATAGAGAAGACGAAATTGTTTTTTTTTTTAAAACTTTGTAATAAAAGAGAATTGAACCAGATATAATGATAGTTTGTTCTAATTTATACAAGATAAAGTCTATGTAGATGATTGTTACGAACTATGAGTATAATATAATACACCAAGTGAATTTTCAGCGGTACTTATATTTATTTAGTTTAATGTTGTACACATTATTCAGCAGTAAAGTAAATGGTTTCAAGTCAAATAAATGGTTGTTGTACAGGTTGTTGAAATAAGCTCTTGTACCAATTCAGGTGGAGAGATTTTTCGTCAGCTGTAATGTTTTGATAGTTAATAATATTCATAAGAATTGAATTTTGTTCAGTTTTGTATTTGATAAATTGAATAAGTATTTCATTGAATGGTCAGTAAATTATTCAGTCATCTCCTTGATTAAAACTTTCAATTACTTAAAAAAATATTTTTTAAAATATCAGTTTGAACTTGATTAAAATTTCAATTTCAAACAACTTGCTGTTCTTTGATTAAGCATATAGTTTACAAGTTAAGATTTCAAACAAACTGGTTTTATATGACTGATCACAAGGAGAAAAAGCACAATAAACTCGCTGTATCACTGGTAATTCCATGGATTACCCTTACTTACTTACTTACTCACTCACTTCTGTTACCCCCAATGGAGCATAGGCCGCCGACCAGCATTCTCCAACCCACTCTGTCCTGGGCCTCCCTTTCTAGTTCTGTCCAATTTTTTTTTGAATGTCCTCACTTCTAATTCCCATTTCTCAACGAGCTGTGTTCCTTGGCCTTCTTCTTTTCCTTTGACCTTGAGGGTCCCAAGTGACGGCTTCTCTTGTGAGGTAGTTGAGTGCTTTTCAAAGTGTTTGTCCTATCCACTACTAGCGCTTCTTCCTGATTTCCTCCTCCAGTGAAATCTTGCGAGTCAGTGATGCTGCCCAGATATGTAAAGGTTTTTTGCCTCCTCCAAAGAATCTCCATCAAGAGTGATTTGGTTGGCACATGTTGTGTTGTATCGGATAATCTTGCTTTTACCTTTATGTATGTTGAGACCTGCTGCTGCAGAGTCTGCTTCTACACTGGTCGTCTTCTCTTTTATTTGTTGTTGTGTGTGTGATAGAAGAGCAAGGTCATCTGCGAAGTCCAGATCGTCCAGCTGCATCCTAGCATCCATTGGATACCATGCTTTTCTCCAGATGTTGACGTCTACATAATCCAGTCGATCACCAGAAGAAAGAGAAAGGATGAGAGTAAGCAACCTTGCCTGACACCGGTCTTCAACGTCCGTCAGCTGACCTCCGTGCACGATCTGCAGTCTAATCCATCATAAGAATTTTGTATAATGTTGACTATCTTCTGAGGCACGCCGTAGTATCAAAGAAGCCTCCATAGTGTTGTTCTGTCCACGCTATAGAAAGCTTTCTCGTAGTCAACGAAGTTGATGTATGGTGGTGAGTTCCATTCAATTGACTGTTCCATAATGATTCGTAATGTAGCAATTTGGTCAGTACACGACCGATCCTTACCTAATCCAGCATGTCAATCTCGAAGTTGGGTGTCTACGAAGTCCTTCATTCTGTTTAACAATACCCTGTTGAAGACTTTGCCTGGTATATAGAGAAGAGTGATGCCTCTGTAGTTCTCACACTTGCTGAGATCACCTTTCTTTGGTGTTTTGATTAGTTATACTTGTTTCCAGTCTGTTGGTACTTGTTCTTCTTCTCAAATCTTGTTGAAGAGAATGTGGAATATTTGCTGAGTTTGCCAGTATGCTGTAGAAAGGCCGTATTAAACCTTCGTGATGTTGTCCGTCCTGTTATCCAGTGTTTCTTGAGTTTAAGTTTCATCTTGGCGACCAGCAGGTGGTGATCTGAGACTAAATCAACTCCTCTTTGGTTCTCACATCCTCTATAGTCCTTCTCAACCTTTTATTGATATAGATATGGTCGATTTGGTTGTGAGTAGTGTGGTCCGGTGAAACCCATACAGCTTTATGTATGCATTTGTGTGGGAATACTGTGCCGCCGATGACCAGTGTGTTGAAGGCACATAGGTTTGCCAATCTCTCACCATTTTCGTTCATTTCTCCCAATCGATGTTGCCTCATGATGTTTTCATAGCCAGTGTTGTCGATGCCAACCTTGGCGTTTAGGTCTACCGTCATCAATGTAGTCGTTAATAGGTGCGTAGCATTGGATGACGTTCATTGTAATGCCCTGTTCCTTTGTTTTGAAGGATGCTTTGACGATCCTGGGTCAATGAGATTTCCATCCTATAAGTGCCTTTTGTGCTTGTTTGGACATCATCAGTGAAACTCCTTGTGTGTATGTTAGTCGTTTTTTTCTTCTTGGTCAGAGTATAACAGCAGTTTCTCTGAAGCTAGTCTTAATTGCCCAACCCGCGTCCAATGGGTTTCACTGATTCCAAGCATCTACAGGTTGTATCTTTTCATTTCTGTAGCAACTTGGAAAAGTCTTCCGCTATTCCACAGCGTTTGAACTTTCCATGTACCTGAAAGAATGGTTGCTCTGGTTGTCAGAAGGGGCATTGGACTAGTGACTTCCGAAGCAACTCGTCTTTCATCATGGGACGTCATAACTCTTCTGAAAGAAGACCTGACTCCCAGGGCAGAGTCAAAATGGTTTGAATCATATTTTCTCTTTAGGGTTTTTTCGCGTGTTAATTTTCTACGGAATGTGGTCGCCAACCCCATGCCCAACCCTCCTCCTTCATCCGGGCTTGGGACCAACAGTAGCACCAGAGAGGCTCCAGGCGGAATTACGGATTCACCTACTAGACTATTTATGTGTTTATTGTAAGGTATATTTTTGTAATAAATATACAAATTCTAACCAATTTCCATCGAAATACTTTTGTAATAAATGGGATATATATTATTTAAGTGAAGCATTTGGCCGTTCATTTCAAGTACACAAGATGTACTGGATTATGATACTACTATGCAGATCTCTGAATTAAGTTCTTTGTTTTAATAAATTTAATTTACTGATGATGTAACTCTTGAAACTGTAACCTCTGATGAATATAAATTGAGATAAATGTATTTAAAGATAATATAATCCGAGGGACGACCTAAGAAAGAAGTAGATCCACAAATCGTAATAACTTTTCTTGTTGGTAACCAATTGATATAATATCTAAGTAAGAGTTGAGTTCACTGATTGATCAAAATTATTGATTAAAACATCGAATTCAATATTGTTGGTACATATGTATTTCTTCTATCAATCATTCTACTTTCTTCCAATTTTTTATTTCTTATACAGTTTTCATTCAATAACTTTACTTAAGTTGTTCACGTTGCATTAGTTTTGATATTTCATTTCCATAGTGTTGTAATCAATGAACGTAACCGACAGAATGTTTCATTCTATGCATATAAACTTACACAAAAAACATTCTGAACTATTATCTGGGCGAAATTCAGAATAAATATCGTTAATTTATATCTTTTTTTTTTAATTGCTTTTATAGAATGATTTGACTTTTATTTCTGTCGTTGTCAGTTTAACTCCTTTGAGATAACATAAACCAAAGTGATTGATTATTTTTAATCGTACATTAGTGACTTACGAAGTATAACATTTGGACACTTGAATGATCTCAGTTTAACACAGGATAAAACGTTTATCGTTTAGTTCTCTTAGTCAGATTTACATTCTTTTCAAATTATATACAAATGCATATATGCAAATGAATTACTAGTCTTCATCTCCAGTAAAATTTGTCTTTACTTGTTTTGGTAAAATGTATAACGAGACCTAAATATTATTAGCTATTGAACTGTATATAAAATAAATTTCCTAATTTAAAAATTTGTTGATTTAAAAAAAAAATGAAAATACTTAAAATGTGATTGTCGATTGAATTCTGACATTATATATATATATATATATATATATATATATATACATATATATATATATATATATATATATATATATATATATATATATATATAGATTCCAAAGTTTTTGCAGAGTTGTTTCGTTATCAAGTAAAGTGCAGACAAGTAAAATTGATTCCCTTCATACTTCTGAACTATTTTCATTTTACCCTTAATTAGTGGTGATTCAATTGTTGTGAAATTTCATTATGATATTTTAACATTTTCAAACATTTTGTAATGTGTACCTTGTTTTGCCTAATGAAGTATTGATTCTGCAGTGATGATTTACAGAGTAAGTGAGAAGAAAGTTAGAGATTGAATAAAGAATGCAGAAAACAAATCAATGAATTTATTGATTTCTATTCTGAATCATATTGATACATTCAGTCGTTTATAATGTCATGCTTAATGGGTATATTATACTAGATTATTCCACTCGAATTTCTCTTTCAGGTAGTCATGATGTGTTAGATGGTATTTTAGACAATTGTTGTAGGATCCACACTGAGGTTTGGACTGGGTAATAACTGTCTAGGTAGTTTAGATACGCGTCTTGCTCAGTTGAAATCAAAACAAGTGATTTGGGTAAATAACGGTTCTCATATTTATCAAAAATATAAATATACATCATTACCCAAACAATATTACCAAATCTATTCCACTAATAACTGTTCAATTATTCAAAT